GATCCTAAGGCCACAAAAACTGATCCCCTCAACACCTCGGCTGCGCCTAGAAATTCTGTCCATAAAAGTTATGAACAGAATCGGTGACAAAGGGCAACCTTGGCGGAGTCCAACTCTCACCAGGAACAAGCCCGACTTACTGCCGGCGATACGGACCAGGCTCTGACACCAGTCATACAGGGACCTAACAGCCCGTATCAAAGGGTCCGGTACCCCATACTCCCAGAGTACCCCCCACAGGGTCCCCCGAGGGACGCGGTCAAACGCCTTCTCCAAGTCCACAAAGCACATGTAGACTGGGTGGCAAACTCCCACGCACCCTCCAGGACCCTGCTGAGAGTGTAGAGCTGGTCCAGTGTTCCACGACCAGGACGAAAACCGCACTGCTCCTCCTGAATCCGAGGTTCGACTCTCCGACGGGCCCTCCTCTCCAGATCACATGAGTATTATCAAACTTGACAATCATGTCTGTGTACAATTTCTTTTTTTTTCTCGTGTTCAATTTTACTTTGAAAAAAACGCGAAAGAGTGAGTGACTACTGTTAATACATTAACTGATGAGTCATCCAGGTGTGTCTGATCAGCTCTATCGATCACCTGACCTGATCACCCATCAGCTGATCATCTGGGGAAAATGTCGCTGACAGTTGGTGCTTTTATTTTGAAGGTTTATAAAGTTGACATGAAAACATAGTAAAGTAAATAAATAGTGTGAGGGCAGCATATTACATTTATAACAAGAACCTCTCTCTGGGTCGTGTTGTTATTGAGTTGAGGCCTGTTTGTGTCTGTGTTAGCTCGCTGCTTCGTCTTGTTTAAAGTTAATATATCGCGATAAAACCCGCTTTAACTGAAAATAACAGAGTTCACATCCAGAACTCACCTCCTCAATGTAACAAGCCTCCAAGCAGAGCAGCTCCTCAGGGCCAAGGCGGCCATTTGAACCCGGGTTTAGAGTCCAAAGTTCGGAAGGACGGACAAGGATAGCAGCAAAGCTAGCAGCAGCGGACGAGGCTAAGTCCCGCCCACTCAAATGTTTCATGTTCTCCTATTAGTTGAACGGGGACGGCCAGCCTAAATTGTCCAATGGTGAAAGGCTTTCTTAAATTTTGACCAATCAGAGCTCAAATATTTAAATAAAGCCCGCCTTTTTTGCGATTATATGTCCAATCGGATGTTTGAAATCTGGAGTTCCGGTCTGCCTTCAGGAGAAAGACGCTTTTCATTCATTCAACCTTCATTTATACAGGTTTTTATTTATTTTTATTATTATTATACAGTCAACATCAAAAAGGTAACATAACATATACATTATGTGTTCACAGTACATTCTTAGAAAGTTACAAAGAGCAAACAAAACAAACAAAAATGAATCGAAAAATCTTAACGGAGCATGTTGTATATACACAACATCAAAATCCAGGGCAATACATTAATGTACTAATGTTTTCAAAAAAGACATCAACTTAAAAGCATTTTTTTGACTTCACAAAACACAAAGACTTATAAAACAAATTGAACTTATTCTTCCACTGTATAAAGTTAGGGATGGGTTTTAAAGAAGGGACATTTTGTGTATGTGATTGGCTAAAAGAAGAACATTGACACCAAATTTAATCTCTTGGATGGTTAAATCTGTCCTTTTTTCTTTTTTTTTTT